GTCTTGTGCCCTTTCTGCCTCTCAGGTACCAGATCGGCTAGGAATTCTCACCCACCTGTACAGAGACTTTGATAAATGCAGGTTTGCTGGGTTTTGCCGGAAAGTTGCAGAAGGTACTAGAGGTGGGGCAGGGCTTTATCTGGCTTTGTTCTGCAAAGTTGGAGGGTGGAGTAGGGGTCACATGGGGATTGGAAGCCAGTTTCCCTTTGACCAGATGACCTCAGTTTTCTGCCGCCATGGGCTTTGGTACTGGTGGGGCCTTGGGGTGGAGGCAGGACACACAGGTTGTAATGACAATTGTTTTATGTGACCTGGTCCTTTTGACAGCTGTCATGGCTTGTGCAGGCTGTGTGTCTGTTTCTGAGAAATGTATGAGGCCATTGTTCTTTGGGCAAATCTATAACTTGCTTTTTTAACCAATGATACCCACAGAACTAGGGGATCCCGGACAGGCGAGGCGTGTTTGGCTGGGTATCAGGAGAAGCTGAACCACAGGGCATGTTTGTTTGCACTTTTCTTTCTCCATTATACAGCCCACACTCCCTTCATTTGGATTCCTGAAGCCTCGGGGCATTGTAGGTCCCTCTGAGATCTGCTGGTCTGAGGCCCCTTCAGAGCAGAGCAAGGAGGGGGCTGGGCTGACCACCAGCAGACTGTTAGGGTGGGTGGGGGCCCCGACAGGAGTACCGGCCAGCTGCTCAGGTAGGGTCCTGGGTCCCCAGAGCTGAGAGACCTTCAGGGACCGACTGAAGAACTCAGTGTGAGTTGGAGTACAGACCTCCAGTGCCAGTGTGCCCCCTAGGGGGGCCGCCCTTCTCAAGTGCCTGGAATGAGCCACCTCTACAGGGCACCCTTCCTAGGTGGAAATTCCTGGTGGGGGCCGAGGGAGTAAGGACGAGGGGCAGCTTTGGAGGCTGGCTTAGCCCTGTGCCATGCCGTGAGCATCTGTTCCTGATTCAGACCTTGGCTGCCTCTCGGTACTCCCACCTCCCACTGTTGCTGCCCTACAGCAGAGAAAGAGAGAGAGTAACAGGACGGTGGCTCCCCATGTGTTCACCAGCTCTGTTCCCTCCTCCCTACCCAGGTGCTCAGCAGGGAGACCCCCTCTCCCGGTATATCTTCAGGAAGGCTGGGGAGATGCTGGGCAGACACGTGGTGGCAGTGTTGCCTGAGATTGACCCGGTGAGTTGAGGTGGGAAATGAGAGCTGGGGAGCTGCTGGGCCAGATTTGACCCTTTCCCATTAGGGGTGAGACTTTCCCATAAAACTGTGTAAATGGGATATAATTTGAAAGGAACTCTGGGTATGAGAAAACATCTGTGGGAAGTGTGTAACAGAGAAGTGCTTGGGTTCAGTGCCTCCCCTCTGGCTGGTCCCAGGCCAGTATACATAGAGTCAGTTGTTCAATGTGGTGAATGCGCTGCGCCCTTTCTCTGTCATGCTTCTGTCTGTTTCCCTCCCTTCTCTTTCCTTCCTCTGCTGTTGTTTAACCTCCTTTTTCCTTTCCCTTCTCTCCCTCACATGTATGAATCTCCCTTTTTTCTACCCTTTATTCTTGACTCCATCTCCTGGTCCCTGGCTAGAGGGGAGGAATTGGGCTAGAGTGGGCTGGTCTTAAGAAACTCCCCACTTTGGCACTGGAGAGGCTCGGTTGCCCCCAATCTCCATTTCTGCTCTCTGCCCAGGTCTTGTTCCAGGGTGAGATTGGCCTCCCCATCCTGTGTGTGGGCTCTGTGTGGAAGAGCTGGGAGCTGCTGAAGGAAGGTGAGAAGAGGTGGGGGCAGGTGGGGATGGGCAAGGGTGAGGGGTGGGGCTGGGAAGGAGGTGGCCTGGGAGAACTGGGGCAGGGAGGACTTGGTTACCTGGGCACTGAGGCCTGGACAGGCCACTGAAGTCTCAAACCAAGACCCTCAAACTTCACTTTTCCAGGGAGCCCTTTTACAACATCCCATCCAGCTTCCTTGAAGTCACAAAAAGGTCTTTTTTCCCAAAGAATATATTAAATAAGCACCACCTTTTAAAAATTAAAGACAAATGTAACTTTGGAAGTTGGAACTTCTGACCAGTATGTGGCAACATCCTCATCACCATAATCCTGGCCAGAAGGAAAGAAATGTGCTGTCCGCACCTTTGCAGCTTGTTTCGGGTGGCTGTGTGGTTCCCATCAGACATTCTGAAGTAGCTCAAAGGCCTCTGATGCTCCCTTGGAGCCCTTGAGTGGCACTGGGTGCTGGGGCCCCACAGCTGTCCCTGGGCTCCCACACCTGGTGGCGCCATCCGTTAGGGGATTTGGCATGTGGCACCTCCACGCAAAGCCTCAGGGCCTGGGCCTCTTCTTTCCCTCCCTCTTTGTCCCCGCCTTCTCCCTGGTCTCTCATCTCTGTCCTCTGCGTTCTTTCCTGCAGGTTTCCTTTTGGCGCTGACCCAGGGCAGAGAGATCCAGGCTCAGAACTCCTTCTCCAGCTTCACCCTGATGAAGCTGCGGCACTCCTCCGCCCTGGGCGGGGCCAGCCTGGGGGCCAGGCACATCGGGCACCTGCTCCCCATGGACTACAGCGTCAATGCCATTGCCTTCTACTCCTACACCTTCTCCTAGGGGGCTGGCCCTGGCTCCACCCCCTCCAAGCCCAGTGGACATTGGGTGCTGGAAGGGAAGGGAGGAGGCTCTTTCTTTTTTTCCTTTTTAAAAAAAAAAAAAACACACATATAGAAGAAAATAAACGCACTTTACCCACTCCCCAATTGGATGGTGTTATCAGGCACACATGCTGTGTACAGCCTCAGCTCACCTGCCAGGAGGTTATCCCAGAGGGTCAGAAATGGTTTTAGCTCAGGGTTTAAAGCCCCACTTGAGGTACTTGGCCTGTGGTCGCAGTCTGCTCGCCCAGCAGCCAGGCAGGTCATTTATCTGTGTGCTGCCCACCCCCTACATTAGCATACTCCTATGCCGTGTGGCTGCCTCTTCACCTGTGATCTCAATTTTCCCCTGTCCAAGTGGGTAAAGATCCCTGCCTGACCATCTTTAGTGAAACTAAGTGTTCTCCATGCAACATCCCCAGAAGTAACCTTAGACATAGCACACCGTGTCTTCATAGTCCCAGTAGGATTTCGGGGATGGTACAGATCTAATCTGGGAGAATTTTTACCTCACTGGATTTGGTACTTACAGGTAAACGGCACATTTTGCAGTTTTTCTCATGAATGAGTTCTTAAGAGGTTATGAGGATGGCTGAGGTCCCAGAAGGCCAACTAGACACAAATGGGTGGCCTACCTATTCCTGGAGACTGCCGGCCTGGCTCTGGTTACAGGATGACAACTTTGCATTTGTTGTGTGGCACCGGAAATGACGAACGTCAGTGGAAAGCAGATAGGATTCCTGTCCTGTGGATACTGTAGTTTGATCAGTAAAGACAAGCCCGGGGCTTCCTGTTCTGCCTGTGTTGCTGGGTGAAGACTGAAGACAGTCTTGACCCACAGCGGCTGCCTCTCCAGGTGTTCAGAGTGGAAGCTGTTACAAGGCATGGATTGTGTCCTAAACATCAGTTCTCAAGCTTCTGTGCATCAGTTATTCACAGACTTGTTTTAAACTCTGATTTTCATTTTTTTCCTCCTTCCTGTAAGGTGTCTGATTCAGTAGATCAAGTATGAGATGAGATGGGAAATTGTCATTTCTGCTAAATAACCTTGGGTCATCATTTCTGCTGCAGAGGTCCAGGATCTGCACTTGGGGGAGCTCTATCCGGTAACTTCAGAGTTCTGATTCAGCTCTTGAATACCCGTTTCCCAAGTCAAATGACACTGTTCTTTCACTGTGTACAACAGGACGGTGGTGGCTCTCATCCCGTCAGCTCTAGCTCAACACAGCAATAAGAACTCAAGCCGTATCCCTTCCTGGGGGACAGTCAGCCCTCTTCACATCTAGGTGTGGTCCCAACAGCTGGGGGCCAGCTATCAGCGAATCCCCAGTACATCATATGGTGAAAAGCTTGCAAAGAACAGGGACCCAGCAGAGGGGCCTCGGCAGGATCTGACAGTCCTAAGAACACTTTACTAATGAGTGGCCTCAAGACCAGGATCAAGCAGTAGTTTGGATTTAGAATCTAAAACTGTATGAGTTTATAAATAAGAGACATACTTCTGTTCTTCAGGATACAACCATCACTTCCTTACCATCGCCTAGCCTCTGCTGTTCCAGTTGGACGGGAGGTTTAGAGCACAGCAAGGAGCACATCATGACGGATTTTCAATGCCAACATGTAAGTGTTGACTAAACGTTAGTTGGAAAAACGAAGACGGTATTAACGTGCACAAGGTCAGATGTGTTCCCAGTTCCCGTGACCAAAGGAAATGTGATGAGGTGGCTTTTTCTCCAACTAGTCAGGCTCCATTACACGGAGGTTGCAATGCATAAAGCGATGTTTGATGAGATTCTCTCCCTTTAATTTAAAATGTGTAACCTCCTTCCCTATAGATACCAGGAACAATGAAAAGGATGCCGCACTACCAAGGCGCTGGATATACGATTCATATCTGAGCTTGTAACAGCCTTTGGACAAGGCAGGAGAGCTTGGAGCAAGAAAAGGACTTGAAGAGGCCAGCGCTGCCTTAATCTACCTGTGTGATCTCGTGGACGGCACAGCCTCATCTGTACCATTCAGCAAACATTCACTGCATGTCTTCTAGCTGTGATGAGTGCTCTAAGTTTTAATCTAAGGATGAAAAATGAGTGTACCCTTACACCTTACACCAACAGAAAGTGGTTGAAAATTTATGGAACTGCAGTTTACAGTATCTGCACTTTTCTGTAGTATATTATACTTAAGTTTAATGACAATTT